ATATATCTATATATATTTTTTTTAATCTGTTACATGTTACCTATTTTGAGAGTGTTCAACGTGTTCGATCAATTCTGCATAATTTGAAATAAATTTGAGATATTTTTTGCTGATTTCACGAAACTATGTGCACTTCCGTAAAAAATAAGGTAACTTCAAAGACTTCCTATATGATATTGATTACGATAATCATGTAGCTTCATTCTAATGTACATTCAAATCATTATAATTTTTATAATTTGTGAAAATCGATTTTACAAAAGATGATTTGCATTTTTTGGTAATTGTTGAATTGAACTTCATCATTTGCGATGTTGATAAATTAGGTTCGACGCATTTTTGTATAAAATGAAGAAATCTATCAAAAGAAATATCACTCTGCCCCATGAACCGAAATACTAATTATTAAAGTTTATGGATATTCAGATTAGAAAATCTGTCACATTGATGGCATAGAGGAACATGAGAATATATATATATATATATATATAAGTATAAGAAATATAATAACTATTTTCTGCTTCAAAAAATTACACAAGTTCTCTGCTTTAAATACTATTTTTTTTGTATAATTTTTGTTTTTACATCAAAGAATTTATCTTGATTTTTTTTTGCTTTTTGCTTTAAAAATACAAATTCTGTTTTAAAAACAAAAATTCTTTGCTTTAAAAACAAAATTTTCTACTATAAAAACAAAAATTATATAGAAAATAATTTGTTTTTAAGGCAGAGAATTTGTTTTTAAGGTAAAGATTTGTATTTATAAAACAAAATTTGTGTAATCTCTATACCATCGATGTGACAGATTTTTCTAACCTGAATATCTTTCAACAATGAATGTCTCGATCCGTGGGGCAGAGCGACACTTTTTTTGCCATATTCGTTCATTACATGCAAAAACGCGAATGAGCCTAATTTTATCAACATCTGAGATTAAGAAACTAAACTCAACAATTACCTTAATATTCTTGAAGCTTCCACGAGAGTGCTTTCTATATAAAGATTATGCGTTTCGCCGGTTGTCTCCGTGTTCAGATCCATTCTCGGAATGGCAATTCTTGGATCGCCTTGATGAAATGGACAAGGTTCATGAAACGTTGACATTCCAAGAATAGATAGCTAGAGACAACCCGCGAAATGCATAATTACCTTAACTTTCAAATGTTAAATATATTAATATACTATCTGTTTTACCTCTGACAATCTATTATTTTTTTATAATAAGTTTATATAAACATTTATAATATACATAAACATTTTTACAATATCTTAATATACTATAATTTGTATATAGGATTCTCCACAATGCCAGGATATGTTGCATTTTGCAAAAAAGTGGTGCTGGAATTTTTTTCGATGTATGATCATACATCTGCATTTTATCTTCGATAGTATTGTAGACTTTGCCTTTGGCATGTACTACGATAAGAAAGCAAAGAAGGTATCATCAGTGAAGAATAAGCTATTATTAGAAAGTGCTGTTTCCTTAGCAGAAAAAATTAGGTAAGACAGTTATTGATTCTTTATTTAAATTATTGTTAAAGCATATATTTATTGCCATGTTATTCATATGTAAATGATATTTAAGACCCTATTTTATAATTCTTAATGCTATTTATTGTTGAATAATTGTCACTAATTTAGAATTTTTCTTATTTTATAAACAAAAAATTATCATAATCTCTATATAATCTAGAAAAATATTATTGAATCTATAACAATTTTGTTACCATTTTATTGTTGATATATAAATAACAGTTGTTATCTACAGAAGTGAAAAAAATTGTTCCTTAATGACTAGCGTTTAATGAAAATATCATTAAAAAATTATAAAATGGTTTATTTTATTAATTTATTAAACACATCTTCTCTCATAATTTATTTTTTTATTTTGTAATAAAACATCATTAAATGATAGAAATTATTATGAAAATTTGGTGTCGTTTGAATTTAAATGAGATGTTCTCTAAAATAATGAATGTCATTTGTATGTGAATGAATAGATAACAATATGTTAAAGATTTATAATTTGAGATAGAACTGAAGAGAGAATAACTCTAATTAAATATGGAAAATTCCTTTTGATTGAAGTAAACCTTAAATACTATAACTGTTTAGTGTAAATTTATGTATATTTCTGATTCCACAAATGCTTTCCATCATGCTTTCCACTAAATTACTTTTTCAGACACATTCACAGAACCAGAATAGTAATATCCTGATAAAAAAATTTGTTATATATGAATATACAGAGTGTCCCAAAATAATCGCTAAATATTTCATGGGCAGATAGAATAGATTCCATAGTGGAAAATTACATGGTGTGCTCAGTTTACAAGCGTCTCTCTCTCTCTCTCTCTAAAATTAGCGCTCTCTGTTCTTCTTGTTCTTATTCCGCAAAGCCTATGAAACGCGAAATATATTCATAGTCCGTTTTTATTTTAAAATCATCTTAAATATAATGTTGTCTTAAGTTGTTAAGTTCTCGAATTGACATCTTAAGATTGACTTAAGATAATATTAAATATAAGAATCGATTATGAACACCGATCTGTTTCGCATCATAGAGTTTTCTTGCACAAGGAAAGATTCAGTACCAACTCCATGACACGAAATAGGTCGGTGTTCATAGTCGATTCTTACATTTAATTCTGTCGTAAGTCAATCCAAGAACTGTATTAACATCTTAAGACATTATATTTAAGATAGTTTTAAAATAAAAATGGACTATGAATATCACCCCATGTTTTGCATTTCACAGTTGGTAGACACTTAGAGATGACGCGGAACAAAAGTAGACGAAGTAGTGGTTTAATCAAATTGAGCACATCATGTAATCCTTCCAGCATGAATAGAACGGACTAAATTGAGTCGAAAAGTTTTCTACCATTTTTCAATTTTTGCAATAGTTCACAAGATTAATTAAAAATTACCGAAAATTGGTTTTCAATAATTTTTTACTCAAATACTATCAATATAGAAAAATTGCAAAAGATTTTACAGAATTAATTTTACAGAAAAATTGCAAAAATTGTTTATTTTCTTCTCATAGAACTCTAAAAATTTTTTCAGAATTTTTTCAGAATTTTTTAATATCGTATTTTCTCATGTTGATAAAAATAAGAAAATACAATACTAAACAGTTGATAAAAAATTTCGAAAAAATTCTTAGAACTCTATGAGAAGAAAATAAACAATTTTTGTCTCTTGTATTTCTTCTGTAAATTTGGTATTTGAGTAAAAAATTATTGAAGATCAATTTTCGATAATTTTTAGTAATTAATATCTTGTTAACTATTTCGAAAATTGCAAAGTGATACAGGACTTTTCGACTCAGTTTGGTCTGCTCTACTTATCCATGAAATATTTGGCGATTTTGGAACACTGTATAAATATGTATAAACAAATCTAAACACGCACAAATATTTATAAACATATATAATTATACATGAAATATGTTCATACATGAAATATATTTTTTCTTTCTTTTGTAAAATTACTTTTTAGTACTAAAAATAATAATAATATTGTTGCACTCGCGAAGTTGTATAATAACATTTAATTACAATTAGAGAACGAATTCTTTATTGACAAATATGAGAGACTCAGAACAGAACAGCAGGACATAAAATACAAAGTTGTCAGGAGGAAGATCTTCTTTTGTCTTCATGATCCATAACGAACAGCTCAGCACACTCGATTTAGGGGAAACTCTAGCGTGGCGCAACAATATTGAAAAAACATCACACAAAAATAGTTAAGGGAAAAATTTTCGCATTGTTTGTTTTAGGAAAAATCAAGTTTGGAAAAATGAAAGTTTGAAAAAAATTTGCTCATACATAATTATGTATAATTTTACATACAATTATATATGATATATTACATACAATTATATATGAGCAATTCTTTTATATTTCTCCAAATTTGATTGTTTCTGAAATAAATATTGGAATGTGTATGTTTATGATCTACAGGCGTATCAAACTGGATGGAGTTAGAGTAAAGCCCCAGACACAATGCGAAGGAATAGCGATAGCGATAGAAATTACACGATCTTCTTTCAATTATCAGAAACTGTTTAATCTGATATATTCGATTTCTGATAGGTTGAAATTGTGTTTTTTCTATCGTTGTCACTATGGAACTTCGCTGAATGGTCAAATTGTCGCAGATCGATATAAATCTCTGAATTTATTGAACGGAATCAAAAATCCTTTTACAGGATTAAAGTAGACGTAAAATTTGGGAGTGCTGCAATAGATTTTATACTAAAATCGTTCAAAACATTTTTTCAACTCATAGAGTCATCTGAAGTAGATGTTTCCTTAATGCAAAAGTTTTATAGCTCGTATCGACCACATGATAGTGCACCATTCAGTGCATGACGTGCACAAACAATACTGAATTTATGAAACTAAGATTAAAAGCTTTAGAAGAAAGATTTATATCCATCTGCAAATGACGTGTATACGAACGCTGAGTCATAGTATGTAGCGCAACTCTACTGATTTTATGTTGGCCAAAATGGAGTGCGCATGCGCGAAATAAATAAGTTGCTCAATAACTCCATCTAAACTTTTATCTCACTTCTTTCTTTTTCCATTCTCTCTTTCAGGATCATTTAAATATTTGAGTAGCTGAAATACGAATCAAAAAAAGATAGAAGAAAAGAAAAATCATGATTAGTTAGTTTAATTTAGTTTATTGCTCTATGAGAAAGATTACGTGTTAACAGAGTAATAAACATAGAATATAACAAACTATAGTAAACATAACATAAAATACAATACAATAGTCATTAATAGCTTGTAAATGATTAGGCATTAACAAAATTGTTAAAATCTACTAGCAACAAAATCGGAAATAAGACAACAATGCAATGAGAAGTGAACATTAATTGAAATCATACATATACATTCACGCACACATACCTGCAAACAATTTCGCCAATCTCGCTTAAATATTGTGAATGATATGTATAATTGCTGGATTGCTTTCGTTTTAGCTACAAAATCTGTTTTCTGTATAGTGCAATTCTAATAATTTATTAAAGCACACAAGCAGGAAAATAAGCATCGTGTGCTGCAGTCATTAATTAATTAAAATATTTTTACAGTATAATATTTGTATTATGCAACCTTTATATAATTTTATATTTTCTTATTTTTGTATTTTTTTTGTTGCAATGCATTACAATTATAAATCTATTTCTTTTAGTTTTATTACATTTAGATTAAAATTGATATATGTATAAACCTAGAGAGAGAAAGAGATTGATTGAGAATTTATTATCGTTCTTAGGCTGGGCCCTCTAAGAACACACGATAGTGGTTGTTGAAGCAAAAATTACAAGTTACACATTACAAATTGTAAATTATAAATTACAAATAACAAATTACAGATTATAATTTCAAATTACAAGTAATAAATTACAAAATATAAATTACAGAAATATACAAAAGATATCAAAGATAGAATAAAATAAAGTGAAAGGCTGAAGACCGCGAGGAAATGAAGAAGATGATATGAAATAATGCAATATTGATACAAAATATATAAATGAAAATATATAAATGAAAAATTATGGCGAGAGCACAACGTAGATGACACGGCAATTCGTGTCAACCCGTGTCGATCCCGCATCCAGACCGCGACCTCGATGACGCAGATGACAGAAGAGAGCTCGCCTAAAGATATTAAGCGATTCGGATTCACGAGGAGAGGATAATGAATTCCATAAGAAAAAGGCTGTGGAAAGGAAAGAGTGTTGGTAGGATGATTCTACAGGGAGATTCTACAGATAGGTATGCAAAGGTCGAAGGAAAGCACGCGAGGCGGGACAAGGTGGAAATGAAAGAGAGATAGGAAGGAGTATTGGAACGAAAGTGAAGAGGAAGCAGCAGGTCAGGAACTCTCTTCTGTCATCTGCGGTCAGCCATTCCAGCGTGTTATAGGAGAGATATACTTGTTCAAGGAAATCGAAGATGAATCGCACGCAGGCATTGAGACGCTTAAGTTTGAGTTTGAGCTGTCCGGTTAGATCAGTAAAGACAGCAGCACAGTAGTCGAACAACGGGAAGATCAGAGAGGACACGAGTCGATTGCGCAACTAAGTCGAGAAACAGTTCTTGCGATATTTAAGTCGCCACAGAATGCCATTCACCCTATTCGAGATAGCCCGTACGTGATCGGAGTCCAGTTGAGAGTCCTGTTGATGATAATTCCTAAATTGATCACGCAATCCTAAATTGGTTACCTTAATAGATGAACCATTGAGGGCGAGCTCGATATTATGAGTCGATCGAATCCCGTTCACATAGTGTGCGCTCCCCAGCTGGATGGCTGATTTTATCTGTGTTTAGCTATAAATCATTTCGAAGCGACCAATGTGCAACAGTAAGGCTTCGAGGTCATAGGAGTGAAAATGAAGATAGACTTAGAGGTCATCATATAAGATATGACAATGATTGAGGGAATGCTTGATGTCAATGAAGATGGAAAATAATAGAGGTTCCAACACGGAACTCTGGTACGCCCGCGGAGACGGGAGCCTAGGATGAAAGATCGTCAGGTCCGCGCACGCGGGATCCTTTAGTGAGGTAGGATCTAAACCATTTTATGACAGGTCCGAAAACGCAGAAATGCGACAGTTTCTGGAGAAGCAGAAGATGGTTGATCGAATCAAATGCCTTAGAGAAGTCAAACAGGACAAGCAGAGTTACTGTTCTCCTGTCTATGGCAAGTCTAATGTCGTTGGTCAGCTTAACCAGCGCCGTCTGCATATTGTGGCCGCTATGGAATCTTGTTTAGAGAGAATCAAGGACGTTGAGGCAGTGAAGATGCTGAAAGAATTGGTCGAAGACGATGCATTCAAGGATTTTGGAGAGAAAGCAGAAAAGGGAGATGGGGCGGAACTCGGATGGATATGATGGGAATCGCGTTTTAGGGAGAGGAATGGCATCGGACAACTTCCAAGCAGACGGAAAGACAGAGGAGTTAAGAGATATATTGAGGAGGTCAAAGATAACAGTAAAAATGACGGAAAGGAATGAGACGTCGATTGATCGGATTCATCGACCGGATGCGTTAGATCTACTCTTGGCGAGCGCGAACACAAGGTTTCACGCACTCCAGGGGTAATGTGGCGAAAGTAAAAAGTGGAAGGGTCGGAGACAGGAGACGCTTGTGATGAGAGAGGAGAGATAGAAGAAATGAACGAGGTAAGGAAAAACGAGGGAGTGGAGGAAGGGGAATATGAAAGAAAATGAAAAAATGATTGAGGCAGTCAGACGAGAAATTAAGGCGGGGAAGAAGATTTGGGCTTGGTCTAGAGATCTAAATTCGGACCAAAGACGCGCAGGGGAAGAAACAAAATTCAGGCGAGACAGTAGGTATTTGTTTTTTGATGAGACGAGAAGGTTGTCTTCATTGCGCAGCCGACGGAAGACAGTCCCAGACAGCAGGTGATGGATGCCGCCTGAACATTCTCTGCGCGGCGTCTCTTTTGCTCATAAGGGTTCTGATGGGCTGATCTAGCTAAGAGGCAAATGGTCTTTTGGCAATAAAGGTGCGGAAGGGGATATGGATGCCGCGTGCGGAAGGAAGCTGCTAAGAATATCGATTTTTTCGTCAAGGATGTAGGTCCGATTGGATGTCCAATCAAAAGAGCGCAAGGAACTGTGGAATGAGTCGAGGTTGAATAGAGTAATCACGGATGCAAATGGAGGAAGGCGAGGAAGATAAAAATCAAGTAATTTTGATGGAGATGCAAAAAAAAAAAGACGAAGACGTTGTGCGATTTCAAGAATGATTTATGACTGATGAGACAGTGGTCAATCCGGGAGTGAGACGAGGCGATGTGTTGGATATCAGCAAAAGGAACAAGGTAGAAGTGCAAGCTGGAAGCAGAGTCAAGAAAGGATTAGCATCAAAAGATGCGATTAAGATCGATGTTGAAATCACCAATGATTACAGCAGAGAAAATGAAGGATAAAGTTTCTCAAAGTCCGTCGATAGATAACGATAGATAACAGCTAGTAGATACGGTCTACTACAATCTGCTGCGAATATACTTACAATTAAGTATTCCGGATGCGTGCGAGAAAGCGAGAATTTTCGCTCGTAGCCCGGCACGCATGTAAAAGCCAATGCTCCCTCCCCTCCCCTCCCTCCTCACCTGATCAAATCTGATTAGATGGTAACCGAATAAATCGACAAAATTATTAGGAACGTGAGGTTTTAATCAGGTCTCTGACATCATTATAGATTTTCTAAGCTTTAAAATGTTTTTTGAAAAAATTGTTACGATGTTTTTTCGCAAAGAATTTTTTTATTGTATAAAATTGTATTATATGTAAAAGCTTAATTTTTCTAAAATTATTTTTTGATTTCGAAACTAAGAAATTTGCAGAAAAAAGGAAAAATATGTGTTATAATGTGCTTGATTCAAATAAATTTTTTACAAATAAAAAAAAATTTTTTTGGTCATCAACATATTTAAAAAAATTAAGTCAAAGTTTTATACAATAAAAAATTCGATATTTTTACGAAAAATCATGGTAGCAATTTTTTCAAAAAGCATTTTAAAGCTTAGAAAGTCTATTTTAAAATGCTTGTTTATTAAATTTAATTTCAATGATGTTTTAATTAGGTAGAATGCTTTAAAAAATAACAAAAATATTGAAAAATTACTTCCAAGTGTCCTTTAATGTGATGGCACTTTTTAATTTTTAGTCTTTTATACTCCAAACTGATTAAAACAATAAATCATCTTTTTATAATTCATCGCCTGTAAATAATTTCTTCCTTATTTGCCGCCATTTTCGCCTTTGGCGATTGGCCTATTTGTATCAATTTTTAAAAAATTGTCTATATTCTTCAATATTGTTGGATACATGAGCCCTACAATAGTCATGAAAATTTATATAAGATTATTCTTTAATAATATCTCAAATATAGTTTCGTCTAGAATTAAATTTAAATATATATTGTACAACAAAAGAATATATGTTTATATTTATACATACTTTGTTCTAGAACAAAAAAGGTTACATCAGAAGAGATTGTAAAAGCTTATATTGAAAGATGCAAGGAAGTAAACGATTTGATAAATGCAGTCGTGGAATGTAGATACTTAGATGCAATTGAAGAGGCGAAAGCAGTGGATGCCATGATAGAAAAAGGCGTAGATTTGGAGAAAATAAGAATAACACAGCCATTCTTGGGAGTACCGTTTACCACAAAGGAAAGCAATCGGGTTAAAGGTATATAAGACATATGTAGCAGTATGAAAATATTCAGAATTTTTAGTTCAAGATTTTATTTTTAAAAAATTATTCAGTTGACAAGTTTTAATTGAAACTTTAATAAATTTTAAATTTCACGAGTTTGATAAGTATGTAAAGATAAATATAAATATTTTTATTTTATTAATTTTATTTAGCTTTATTTAAATATGATTTTGATTT